GTGCGTGCGTGCGTGAGTGTGTCATCGCAGCGGACCATAGTGGGGGTTGGGGGTCTTCCTCAAGCTGTGATGTACTCTGCCGGTGAAGGAAAATAGGGCAGGACTGAGATCTGCTCTGGTGCTGTTGTTGCATTTCATTCGTGGGCACACACACACACACACACACACACACACACACACACACACACGCACGCACACAGAATATGCACATAGCTATTACAATAGATGCACATCCCTTGGGAGTCCAAATATTTTATCCTGCTGCTTCAAATACGCAATATTCCTATTTCAAGTGCTGCTACATGCACACTGGCACGCAGGCCTCCTTCTCAGCGCTCCAATTCTCTCCTCCACAACCGAGATTCCATATTCCAAAGGAAAAAAAAAATAATAATAATAAGGCCATGGTGTCCTTTTTTTTTCTCTCTTTTTCCATTTGCCCCTTGGCACATACTGCAGGAGGACCTTTGAAAAGAACGTCCGACTCCCTCTGTCGCCCATAATTGACAATTAGTGATGGTGTGGTGTGCATGCATGCATTCGTGTGTGTGTGTGTGTGTGTGTGTGTGTGTGTGTGTGTGTGTGTGTGTGTGTGTGTGTGTGTGCGTGTGTGTGTGCGTGCCAGGCCCTCATCTATCAGCACAGTTGACGTTCGCGCGCTACGCAACGGCTGCTATTAGCCGCCTTATAAGTCGCCAACGACACAGTGGGTGGCGGCGGAAAGACAAAGGCGTAAAGTAAAGAAGTCAGATGACAGGAGGGCAAAAGGGCACAGGAGGAAAGAATTCCCATTCAGCACTGAGTCATTTACACAAAAGCTCGAATGTTAAAGGTCTGGTTTGAAGTCGCGCAAAGGGCAAAAAGGCAAGGCCATTATCAAGACAGCGCTAATGGTCGGGATGGAGGGCTGTTTTTAAGCGACCGCATGCTTCGTTCACGTGTCGCAAAATATGTGTGTGTGCGCAGACACACTGCGTGCTGTAATTGAGGCTGCGGGGCTGTCATTATAGGCCTTGGAGTATACGTTTGCAAATTTCAGCTTTTGTCATTTCAAAACACTGTTACTCTTAATTTAGGACAAGATAGACAATAATTATTTCGACAATTTCAAAGGAACATCACTATGGCCACTTTTTATAAGATGTGATATGAATGCGTACGGTAACAGCATTCTTTTGAAGACAATAGTCATTCCTCGGGCGTTGCATCTGCCATGTTAGGGGAAGAGCATGTTTAGTCTAACATCCGGTTAGTCCAACTGAAAAAGTGGGACTGGTTACGGGAAGGGATGCCATCTCATACAAGATTCCCATTCTTGTGACTGGGGGTTCAATTTCCGGGGTGGCGTATAATTTCCTGGCCTAACGTATGGAATGAAAGCAGTAGGTGATGCATTCTCACATCCTAATCAATTCAATGCATCCTAAGGCGTTGTCCTAACACCTCATCACTCCCACAGCGTGTGTGCACGCTGCACACACGCACAGCTCCAGGGCTCATAAGGAATGCGCTATATCCATATTTACAACATATGTGCACAGAATTACAAAGACATGCATTCCAAACGAAAGACAAACCAGCAGTGACCGAGACTCTAGTCTGTCAGACGTTCCAAAAACTCCATTTAAAAAGAGAAAGGAACATTTTGTTGTCAGACTTCTCTTAAAAAAATACAATCGTCGTGCAGGTTGCCTCATTTGATGCCTACACTTGGAAACAATCATCTCAACAAAATAACATCAGCAATAGCCGAGGCGACTATGTAATCCAATGGCGGGAAACGGTACATGAAATGTCTCCTGATGAGCAGCGGCACTCTGCTAGAACAGCGGAGAAAGGTCACAATGGGCATTCGTTTGGATTTTCCAGATCTCACCAATGAACAAAATAGATAGACATCACCTGAAAGAGATGACACAGTTGGAGCCGGGAAGTAAGGAAGAAAAAAAAAACACCGCTGCTGACACAAAGTGGAAAGTTCAAGTGTGTATTTTTGAATAAAGTGAGGTTAGCAAAGTTAGCGTATCAAAAATTAGCGCATGTTTTCAGTAGGTTTAGTGAAAAAGAGGCTATAGATCGACATTGCCAACTGGGACTCCCTTAAACTATGACATGCACCCCATACACGTGGAAATCGACTTGCACCAGCCATTAGCATCTTATTTACAAGATGAACTTCATTGTAGCTCAATCCGTTATCGACATCCAGACAGACACGGGAGCCTCTTTACACCCTCCCGCACATACCAGCACTCATAAGTCTCTGATACACAAGAGCACAGCGTTCCCGGTGTCTCCCAAGAATAAGCTAATAATGAGAATAGAGGTGCTGACAACTTGGGGGGGGGGCACTGGCATTCTTACACCTTCACCACGAACAAGGAGCACTTGAACAAGAGGGGTGACGTGCTACTCCCAAGCGCACATTGGGATGCTGTAACATCCCACGTGAGTCTTGAACAATATGCTGGCGTGTCACAACATTAAGTGCGCCGGCAACATCAAGTGAGATCCAGTTAAAGAGCTGTAGCAAAAGTCGTGCAACGACAATGAGGCAGCAAACACACTGTAAAAAAAAACCTAGTAGTTAGCACAACAAATCAAGCAAGCTCTCCAAAACAGTTTGCTGAGTTGTTTTAAGTATGTCTTTTAAATTGTGGGACAACACAATGGACAATTAGTTCTGGAAATGCGTATTTCTGTATTTCTATTGTGAAATGCGCTAAGTTAGGAACCTATAACTAAGCTGCTTTTCCATAGGGAGATGCTTTTTTTTTTAATCATTTATTACGTTATTACATTAGTTTAGCTCAAAGCTTCAAGATCTGCCATTGTATTGTACCTTTGAATGTGAAAGAGTTTAGCTCACAGCCACGGGCTTCTTTGTTAGAAGTTAAGAAATGTGTCATTTCAGAATTCAACCAACGAACATCTAATTAGGCCATTAGAGTGAAAAGAGATAGGTTCGTTGTTTGAGTTCATTCTGACATGTTTGTTTTCAGTTTTCGGACCGACTGTCAATAAGTTGTTTTTCAATTGTGATGTTCCTTTTCTTTGTTTTATTATACAGTAATTGCAGATGTCGTTCTGTGATTCAGGTTTTGCTGCTTTTGTAGAGGGCCTTTGAAGGTCAAAGAGTTGAGCTTGTTTTATTGCAGTATTATTTGAATCTTAGATCTTGAGCCCTTTTCTGTTGCTGTTATTTCCCCCCACCCCCAATTCCACTGCTCTTTGTTTTCAATTTAGAAAATTATTGCAACACATTTTGACCGATTCATTCACAATTACGACATGAGCGCATTTATTCATCCCTCATGATCATGGATAAAATGTTTCATGTAACATCATTCTCATTTTGGTGGATGTTGCATAATCTTTGGATGGTGCAGGTGTACCTAATAATGGTGATCTGTGAGAGTCACCAAATGTATTCGTCTCCCTGGACATGAAGTGTGCAGACATCAAACTTACTTTTGAGCGCCTGGATGAGCGCCTTGCCATCCTTGATCAGCTCCTTGATGAACTTGCTGGTCTTGTCCAGCTCTAACTCGTGAGACTTGAGTCTCTCCCTGAACTGCGGACTATCCAGGTAGCAGTCACTGAACTCCAGGGCGGGCAATCCCATTTTCGCCCCCTGCTTGCACACAAGCTGCTAGGACGAGCCGGCAACAATAAAAGCTCCGAGGAGGAACCAGAGGAGCAATCCCTGACGTGGGCTGCTATAGCGGCTATTAAGGAAGGATGCAAAAATCCGATTACATGTAAACAACGTGTGAAATGTTAGATCAGATAAGGGAGGAGCCTTACCTGCATAACCTTAATACCTCCTGCAAAACCCCGGTTTGATTCAAGCGCTTCCCTGAAAACGACACCAGTGCAATATCCAATGGAAGTACTGTAAATGTAAAAAGTTCTCAGAATAAATCCAATATGGCAATATAGCGTCCGGATGCTCGTGTAAACCGGTGCTGCATTCCTGTCGACCGATTCATTCCGGAGCGGACAGTCCGACGAGGAGGATGATGAGGGCCGGAGGGAGGCTGCCAGTACGATACACGACTGAGATCGGGAAAAATTGTGGACTCTTCGCGTGAAGGCTTCGCTTCGACAGCTCGCGGTCAACCTACCGCCACAGGGCTAATCCTTGGACTGACGTCTGATTTGCCCAATCCGATGCGTTTAAAGGATTAGGGGGCGGACGTTGTCTCCCCCGCGATATGCACATGGGAAAAGGAACATATTGCCATTTCCCTCCCTAAAATACCGCACCGCGGTGTCCTCACACTAAACGCGTTTAGATTGTGTGACAATTTAGTTTAATCCCATATGTGTGTTTTAATCAGAAAAAAAATCGATACACATCAAATACAAATCTCCCTCTCCACAGTTGTTTGCGATTATCTTGCTGTCACACACTTTAGGGTATTATTATTATTATTACTTACTATGTGGAGTCAAATTTTGCCGACAGTAGGGGGATTCACTTGTTTTGAAGGGGGTCATGGTGACGTCAGCACAACCATAAATGAAAAGATTTCACAAAGGCTCAGTTGTGAACACCTTTCGCAGCTATCTGGCGCCATCTCTTGTCCTTAAGGAGGCACTACATGTATTTTTAATTTGATTCAGTTGTACCTTTGAAACGGAATAGAATGTGGGCCAGTCTTTACGTATGTGTGTGGATATCCTCACGTTTAAGATACTTTCACACAAATACACATGGCTTCCTAAAAAAAATATTTTAAAAAGCCTGAAATAAATTATTTATATATATATATATATATATATATATATATATATATATATATATATATATATATATATATATATATATATATATATATATATATATATATATATATATATATATATATATATATATATATATATATATATATAAAAAATAACAGGACACTTGAGTTGAGTTACACCATGTGAAGATGCCGCTCTCCCTTTTTTTTCTGCCGTGATAATTTTAGTCTTGGCATGAGCCTGTTAAAATGAGCCTGCAGGGTAAGACGGGGAGGTAGCTGTGTTGAAAAGAAAAACGTTTTTAAAAGGCAGGATTGCGACACTGCACAATCACTTCATTTGCTCACAGGTAAGGAGATGTTCACCTGGTGAGCAAGTCTCATTGTTTTGATTTTTGATTTGTTTAGAATGTTTTGATTTAAGTGGTATTCATATGAATGATAGTCAAGCCGCACTGCACAGGATAGCGTAAAAAAATCAATGTGGTTCTTGCTTAATGGCTAAAAAATCTTTCGGATGTCTTGCTGAAAATTGCACTTGGTCAAACATTGGCAAGGCTACCTCACTCATCCTGAAAACCAGTTTTAACATAAACATGAATCGGGTTCTAGTTCATGGAAAGGAAGATTTCCTGAAAAATGCACCCGGGAGATTGTTGGCAAGGAGCATCTAAGTCCTGATCTGATAATTCAGTTCAGTTACTTTGGTAGTAGAATAAGGTCGAATATCATTCATAAAAGCAAAAAAGGTAAGAATAAAAGTGTAATGGCAGAGGGAATGAAGGACTTGGAGTACTGATGAGATTTCCTTAGAGTCATTTTGGATAAATACTTATCAAACATTTTAACCATACGAACTTTAAACAATTAACATGTAAATCCAAATCTGACCCTAAAACTCAATTTGCCTTTTTAGGAAAGCTGGTAAAAAAAATATATATATATCAGCCAGTACGACGGAGGGGGAACATTCAACTCTTGATCTGAAATTTCATCTCAGCTACCTTAGATATTGTGAGTTTAGATATAAATGAATACCCACAAGGTTCTTGCCTGGACAAGGCTGAAGACAGAAGAAGAAGGAAAAACAATTTTTTTCAAGAGTCCTTTTATATTCACTCCTCCCACAGAGCCATATGTGAACTCTTGACACATGCTGTCATTATTCCCAAGTAACCGTCTTCTGAGGGTGTTATTGAGTAAATACCAAACTTCTCACGTCAACCGCTGACTTGCTGCTTCTGCGTCCGAGCTACTTCGACACAACATGCCGCGAAAATTGCTGCATCGGAATTATGGCAGATGACTCGTTATTCCGCAATCACATCCAACGTGATGACAAATTATTTTCCCACAGTAACAAATCTAATTATTTAGGCTCTCTCTTTTAGCAAGCAAATACCTAAGATAGTTGAATCTAGCTTTTCACAGCTATCTAATTTGCTTATCTATCTAGAGTACAGTATCCTACCTGGCTATTTGTGTTATTTATTTGAGCAAATATTTTTTTTTTTTTTGCCAGTTAGATAGACAAAACAGAATATCCCATCCAACCATTTATCCATCCATACATCCATATACAGACAAGAATTTGCTTGAGAAAAATGTTTGACGTCTTAAATATGTACGAGTATATGAAAGTATCCATACTTCTCTATTTCAGGTTTCACATAACATTTAAACCCATGAATGGAGTTCAACAATTCCCAGTCACCTCCCCATGGTTAGTTAAAAAGCGATGTTGCGCATTGTTACATCATTTATTTCACGTTAATGGTGTTGTCTGCCCCTTTTACTAATCTCACTCAAACGTTACATCACTGCCATCTGGAACCATTTCTGTTTGTTTACTTGGGTAATTGTGAAATCACGTTTGATCACGTGTGGACTCAGTGAAGCATTTCCTGTGCTCCTATCTCAAAAGGAGTTGTTTGGACCAAACTTCCTCTCCCTCTGTAAAACATTCTCCAGGTGACATGAGCGGAGAAGGCAGTGCGTCTGCTTCACATCATGAGCCTCGACGCTCCGGGAGGATGTCTGAAGGAGATGTGATGACGCTGCCGAGCAACTCGCAGGGTGACTTGTCCCGGCATGAGCCTCGCGCTCTCACTCGGCTGCATTGTCTCAATGGGGGCTACCAGTTGAGGATTATGCCAGATGGGAGTGTCTCTGGTGGTCTCCTGGGCAATGACCCATATGGTAAGTACATTTTTAACCAGTACTTAACTACAATTTTTTTCCCCTCCATTATTCTTTACGTGATTTAATAATATCCATTTATGTGAAGACACTGACCGTGCATGTTTGATTTATTATCAATTGTTTCACAAGGTAGGAAAGAGATAAATATCTGTCAGTACGCAACACTTAATTCGTATCAAGACCTGCAAGAGTTTACATGTTCAAATGATCAACAGCATTCCTAGGTGTCATGAGCGATTTTTAGAAAAGGCCCAGTGACTTGATGCGATATCTCGTCAGATCGTGATTGAAGAATGAGTTAACCAAGCCCAAATGGGGTTACAAAAGTCCAATAGCTTAAGGCTAACACACAATTTAAAATGCCACAAAAAGGCTTCACATTGGTATTGCTTTAGTTATACCACCTTGAGCAACAGATTGTTGAACACAAACTGTATAGAAGTACAGACAAGAGGCGGACAATGTAACAATGTAATATCCTTTATTGTCTGAATCATGAAATCATGACGCATTTATTCTTCACTTTAATTATGTTTTTGCTGTCTGATTTGATGAAGTAGAGTGCTATTTGTCTTATTTTTAAAAAATGGGTGGTGTTTTTTGTCTGGGGATGGAACAGATTATTGGAATTCCCATTCATTTCAATAGGGAAAGATGATTTACAATATAGTCGTTTTAAGTTACAACGTTATGAATTACGCTACTAAATCAAAGCACCACTCCTATGTGCTGCAGACATCTTGAGGAGGTGGGCCACAAATGTGGGTGAAGTTGTGCTGATGGGTGAGAATACCAAGAAGTATCTAGCCATGAACAAGAAAGGACGCCTCTATGGAACAGTAAGTATGAATCTAATTCATGTTTTAGGAGCTCAGAGAGGTGGGGGAGGGGGGCATTTAAAGATTTGAAAACAAATAATAGGATCCTAAAAAGAACTCTAAAATGTATTGAGAAACAGTGAAGGGATGTCAGAGTAGGAGTTATGTGCTCCCTCTTATGAGTACCAGTCAAAGGGCAAGCAGCAGCATTCTGGACCAACTGGAAATGCTTAATGGAGGATTGTCTGACTCCAGAGTAAAGTGCATTACAGTCATCCAGCTGTGATGTGACGAAGGCATGCATGACTGTTTCAAAGTGCTATGAAGCTATTTTGGGAAGCTTTTCATGAAATTGACGATTAGAGGCAAGTTTACGAGGAATTTTAGTGATGCATCGCGATGGATAAGCGGTATCCTCCCTATTTGTTGCAGTTGACGCTCAATGATGAGTGTTACTTCTTGGAGAAATATGAGGAGAACCACTACAACACATATCGGTCACGGAATTACCAGTGGTTCGTGGCGCTCAAGAAGAACGGAAAACCCAAACTGGGCCCCAAGGCGGACCTGAGTCAGAAGTCCGTCTTCTTCCTGCCGAGGTCGGTGGATGGGCATCATGCCGCCGGTGAAACCGAACCGCAGGATCAGACAGACTTTTGTTTGAACCATTACCACACCGAGTAATCCAAGTGGACTCGTAACAGATTTAATTTTTTGAATGTGAGGCACTGCACACATGATGAGGAAAAATAAATAAAGAAATAAATAAATAAGTGATGACCAACACAGCACATTATACACATAATGACAACTCGACAGATAATCCTGAGTCACGCATTGGGGAGGAATAATTATTCAGCACATGCTACACCACATCATTATCACTCAGCATTAGGCCAAACAAAAAAGATAGTGTGTTTCCGGTAACAAGAAATTTCAGCATAGGGTCGGTAGGTCAGACAAAGTTTTTTTGTTTTTTTTTAATCTTTTTTTTTTCCCATCAAAAATTTAAACAAAATAACCATAAAACATAAAACAAGAAGACATTGAACCCGCCGCCACCTATTTAGTTTTCTCCCCGCTCCGGACTCGGGGGCCGGAGTGCGCTGCCGCCTCCACCATCCTCCTCCGCCCTCGGTTTTTACTCGGCCCGTGGTGTTCATCAAATAGTTTGCTTTATTTTTTAGATACATCAATGGATGCTATTTTCTTAACATTATGGTGCGAGCACGCGACTGTAACACAGAAAACGCGGTTTAAACTGTCGTCGGAGATCGCGGCCGCCGCCATGTTTCAATGTTGTTGACAGAAGACAGGGCAAACGACGCACACGCTCAACGTGAATATCACGAGAGTTTGCACCGATGTAAACCCTCTACACAAAAATGTAGAGGGTTGTTTGAAAAAAAATGCCGACCGTAAAGTTTTTTTTCGACGTAGAAATTCTCCGTCGGTCGGGTTACCGGAAACACACTACTTTTTTTTCTACGCCTTATCTCTTTGAGATATCCAATAATAGGTCTTGTGCCGACTTTGGTCAGAAAAGAGGGTAAAAAAAGCTCAAATTAGGCCTGATTATCGGTGCACTCTGCCTTCAAAATATTCAAACGTTTCAAGTTACTTTTCTTTGCTAACTACTTATGAAGTTCCTTCAACTCAAATTTTCAATAGGGTATGCTGTTGTAATTGCATTAACATCATGCTATTTATGATATAGCTTCTCATGGACAATGTCAGCATATTGAGTTTTTTTTTTTACAATACAGTATAGTATCGACTGAAACAAATATCTTATTGATCACCAAATATTTACAGGTTTGACACTTTTTTTCATATACCTTGAATGATATTTGTATTATACGTTTCATGATATTATTTGCTACAGTTTTATATCTATCTATCTATCTATCTATCTATATATGTATCTATATATGTATCTATATATCCATATATCTATATCTATATATCTATATCTATATATATATATCTATATATATATATAGATATATATATATCTATATATATATATAGATATATATATATCTATATATATATATAGATATATATATATCTATATATATATATATTAAATGTATATTTTATTTTTGGTAAGTCTGAGATGGAGCCATGCAAAAAAATTAATAAATCATAAAATATAAACGCTGGAGCGCAATAGCAGCCCCACCCCAAAATGTGACATTTACTGACACTATAAAAAGTGACACATTATTTTTTGAATGAGTCATGTTGTTTTAATATTATTTATGGAAGATTATTAATTTTTTAATTTTTAATAAAGTTTTATTGTCCCTGGACATAGTTTCTGAAAATGATTTATACTCACACATTGTTAATGTGATCATCTTTCATCTTGTATTTTGTGCTGTTGTTTACTGAAATAAATACATTACACTCCTATGTATTCTGTTAATGTTCAATTTTTAAAAAAGGCAGGTGACCCCTGCTAAAAGTCTCTCGACATGTCAGGACAAGTTTCTCTCCGTTGCAATTTACATGTGGCCACAAGAGGACAGCATTGGTCTAAATGTCAACTGAGATAAACGCTGAGAATTTTTGTGTAGTTGACTCGGCTCGAGCTGTGTTTAAAACTTGCAGTTTGTTGTGGTAAAGCAATCATAATTGGTGTAAATAATGTATGCATTAAAGCCAATATGAATTTTGAATATCTAACATTTTTTTATGTTCTTAATGCAGCTAAAATGAGTTCCATCAGGACAAAAACAAGTCTGGTTCTGATGATGAAATGTAGGCTAATGTAAAGTCAGCGCAAATGACAACAGCTCAGACGACAGCGACCTCAGTTCACCCCGGATCGAGAGAATCGGTCCTTTTTTTTCCACATAATGTATATTTAATCTGTAACAGCTGAACGCAAACAAGGCGCACTTAAACCTTGTCTCAAATGTCTCTGTGCCGAGGAAAAGCTGTTTTGTATTATGTTTGTGAGCTTTTCACTACACTATGTGGGGTGTGTGTGTGTGTGTGGGGCGGGGGGGGGGCGTTGAGTGAGATCAAATTTTTAAGGCATAAAAATGGATACAATTTTAAGATCGACAATTCAACAAATTATTTCAAGTTTTTGCTCATGTGAAAATTGACTTCCCCACATTTTCAACAAAAAAATTAATAAAAGTTTACAGAACTAATTGTCCCTTGGGCTGGCCGCCCAACTTGAAATAAAAGCAACTCATCAAATTATTTTGGAGCAAACAACTTGCTGGCTTTGTTTTTTTCACTAACATTGTTGCCATAAATGTCAATAATTTATTTTATCAAGTACTGTAGTTCCAATTAAAATGCCCGTTCTAGCTTGAAATTATACAACTGGTGATTTTTACTGTGTCGTATATGTGAGTTAAAAACATCTAAATAGCTACATGACAAATGATGAGCATATTAAAACGTCATTTATAAACGTCTTATCAAGCATTATAAGTTTCAACCGAATCTAAAATAGGCCCATCCTTGCAAGTTATGCAACCTGTGACCTCTCCCTGAGACTCACACATGCATGCGCATACACGCACAATCATCATAGCACTTGCGTGAACTGACCAAAATGCCCCGACAAAGGGGGAAAAAATATGGTTGATGTCAAGGTTTTGTCACACAAACACAGAATACAAGACTGTATACTCTCTCTCTCTCTCTCTCTCTCTCTCTCTCTCTCTCTCTCTCTCTCTCTCTCTCTCTCTCTCTCTCTCTCTCCCTCTCTCTCTCTCTCTCTCTCTCTCACACACACACACACACACACACGCACACGCACACACAAAACCACAAATACACACATGGAGTGTTGGTTGGCCGTTGGCCTGTGGGTCTGTGCGGGGCAGGAAGGGAATTATATCCTGTAAACTGAACAAGGGCCGGCTTCCTCTGGGAGTCCCGAAGCCTGACAGCGGCCAAGATCCTCCACCACACACACATACACGCACATGCACGTGCGTGCGCACAGAGCCATTCTCTCATCTGTTACTCTCTCTCTCTCTCTCTCTCTCTCTCTCTCTCTCTCTCTCTCTCTCTCGCTCTCTCTCCATCTTTCTTTTTCATCCTTCCTGCCTGTATCTCCTCCAACGTCCGTCTGTCTTTTTGCTTTCCTCCTCGTCCCTTTTGCATTTCGTCGCCTCTTTTCCCTTTTCTGTTAGTTTTTTAAAAAATATAGATCATATATTTTCTGTGTACAAGTCTCTATCTCTCACTTTTCATATCGAAACATCCTCAAAAAAAATGTTAAAACACAGATTGAAACATTACCTCCTTCAAATCAATTTATTACTGATAGAAGATGTGGAAATTCAAATCTGTCAACCGCAATTGTTATATTTCATTGTAAAATTATATTGCCTTGATGAAACTGGCTGGCAACCAGTCCAGGGTTGTACCCTGCCTCTCACCCAAAGTCATCTGGGATAGATTCCAGGTCCCCCCCCCCCACCCCCACCCCCCTCATCATAACAGCACGATAGAAAATGGATGGATATTAAAAATATAATTATGAACTTCCTTGGCAAAGATCATTGAGGTCCATTGAAGCCCATTATTAATGCCAAGCATTACACAAAGCAATGTTGTGTTCGAGTTAATCAGAGAATTTGCCACTGAATCACATTGCAGACGCAAAATGATCTGATTTGTGATGGGGATTAAAAAGGTCACTCTGTTCTTTGCAGGCACACACATGCACGGACACACAAACACAAACGTGCATGCACAAGCGGAAACAGAGGGTGCATATCTGACAGCTGATCCTCAAGCAAAAAAGAAAAAAAAACGTGAGGGCAGCAGAGAAGAAGACAAAGTACCGGTATAATTCCGAATTTTAGGGTTCTTGATTTGACAGCAAATTAGTAACACAATCAACACGTGTTGCCTTCTAATGAATTCTGAAGTCTTCTGAGCAAAGCATTGTGGGAGTTTATAAACCCACTGAGACATATCTTTGAGTCGACTTCCCGTGCAGGGCATGAGTTGAGCCCGCTGCCGTGATGCTGCAGTCACATAAAAAGGCCGCGCAAAGCATTTGAGCTGAGGCTTGGCACATCCAAGCAAAATAAAGCCAAAGGGGCCAAAAACAACGCGAGATTTAAACTTCCTTTGTGTTCCCTTAACGATCAAGAACAGCTTTGTGAGCGCTTTGGAAATGCTGAGAATAGGAACACCATTTGGTCAAACCTTTAAATCAATAATGGAACCGATTAGGTCGGATCCGAGATTAAAAAAAAAAAAAAGATGCTTCCAACTTTTATAGGATAAATGAGCTTGTAAACCAGCTTGGTGTGACCACAAAGAGATTAGCATGTAGGCTAACTGAACGGAGAACAAAATGTCTGTCCATTCGTGGAAAGTAGACTTCTTCTGGGAAAATTGCGGATGACTATTTCTGTGACACATTGTGGGAAAAATATCCTGGTCAAAAATATCTCTGAAATTCCTCTTTCTGGTCCTTTAACATCCTGAAGATGATTGGTTTATATGAGCTGTATTGAATTTCTATGTGCCTTGTGGTATTGTGTGTAAATCTACAGTATGTCTGTGCATGTATATATGTGAGAATAAGCGGATTAGAATTATATATATTTTTTTTTATATATATATATATATATATATATATATATATATATATATATATATATATATATACATACAGTATAGTGCAGTTGTGCTCAGAAGTTTACATACCCCAGGTTAACCTATGTAAACTTCTGAACACAACTGTAAATGTTTAACTTGACGGTAAATAACGACAACGTTACCATTATTTGTCTTCAGTGAGGAGCAGGGGTAAATCACACATGCTCGAAGCGCAAAGGGGTCTATTTTGAGCAGCTACTTCAGTTACTTACCAGATTGTACATAGAGCAGAGAAT